GAAGACTGGCCCTCCTCCAGTCCAGATTTGAATCCGTTAGATTACAAGATATGGCAACACCTGGAGGAAAAGGCGTGCTCAAAGCCTCATCCCAATTTGGAGTCACTCAAGACATCCTTGATTAATGCAGCCGCCGATATTGACATGGACCTCGTTCGTGCTGCGATAGACGACTGGCCGCGCAGATTGAAGGCCTGTATTCAAAATCACGCAGGTCATTTTGAATAAACTATAGTGTCATAAGAATCTATGTTTTGTTAAGTTCATTTTGGTATATAAATGGTTATATAATGAATAAACTTGTTTCAATTATTTTATATTAAACATGTGATAGAATTTATGACCTGACTAGGTAATATGCAATTTGGGTACAGATGATAAACCAGGGTCACATTGGGTAGCTTTATATATCGATACGAATGACGTCGGTCAATATTTTGATTTATATGGACGAGCACCTGTACGATATCATCTAGAGTTTTTAAAAAGGAATTGTAAAACATGGAACTGGAATGTTGATAGGATTCAGAATGAGTGGACTTCAGTTTGTGGCGAATATTGCTTAATGTATTTGCTATATAAGTTTCAGGGATGTTCAATGCATAGTTTTACGAGTATATTTACAGGGAATACATTGTACAACGATATTTTAGTGGATGAGATGTTTCGCTCCTATTTTATAGATAATAAGTAATAAGATTTTGTATTTTGTAAATAAAAATTTTAACAAAATTAGGTAAGGTATTGATGAGGTCAGATTAGTGTAGATAGGAACAAAGGAGTATAATACAATAGCACCACGCTGAGGAAGAATAGATAATGACGGTATTCAATGAACAATAGATAAGTAGATAAGAACAATGGAGCGCTAATGACGGTGGAGGCCTTCACCGGATATCAATTAGATAAGAGTTAATTGATCTGTACATCTCCGGAACCGTGCATCCTACGCAAAAATGGACCGCAGATTCGTGATCAGAGCATGCCAAAACTTTTTTTTTAGGTTCGTGAGTCGACGAACGTCGTACTTGTACCACTTCTGACTCAGTGAGCCAGAACTGGTACAACGTAACAACTGCCACCCTAACCACCGCCGAAGTTATAAAGCTCATGAAATCGGGTCAATTCGATCTTGTCAAGTGAACTAGTAACTCGCGTCCGGTTTTAGACACAATCCCACTATCACACCGTCTTTCGACGATAAAGGAATTCGACGATTCTGATACACACAAGGTGCTCGGTCTGTGTTGGTCACCAGAGTCCGACGTGTTTAGCCTTAAGGTAAACTCGCCCGTAGAGAAGTGCACAAAGCGCACAATACTGTCATGCGTTGCTAGATTATGGGATGTCATGGGTTTCGTAGCTCCGGTGGTATTATACGCTAAGCTTTTGATTAAACAACTTTGGTTATTTGAATGCGATTAGGATGACTCGCCGCCTGACAGCATTGTTCGGTTGTGGCAGCGTTTTAGAGAGGAACTTCCTTTATTAAGAGAAATTAAAATACCACGTCATATAAACGTTGATAGAAATAGCGTCATCACGGTCGTTGGGTTTGCAGACGCCAGCGAGAAGGCTTACGGGGGCGTTGTATATTTCCACGTCCAGAATAATGGTAGAAATTCGATTAGCCTCATTAGTTCTAAGTCGAGAGTCTCCCCCCGTAAGGTTGTCTCTCTGGCGCGCTTGGAGCTTTGCGCAATATTAGTACTCACCAAGCTTATTACCGCAGTTATCAGCGCATGTAGGGTCACGTACACATAGAAAGGATATTTGCCCTTTCCGACTCCACCGTCGCCTTATGCTGGGTTCATTCTTCACCCCACCATTGGGATACGTTTTTCGCGAACCGAGTGGCCAAGATCCAAGACGAGTTAGAAACGCAGAACTTTTATCACGTGTCCGGTACGGAAAACCCTGCCGATTGTCTATCCCGTGGACTCACCCCGATGCAAATAATGGATCACCCGCTTTGGTTCCACGGACCTTCTTGGGTTCACTTGGATCCCTCGCAATGGCCAATAAACGATTTCGAACCTTCGTCAGTGTCACAACCGCCGGAAGAGAAGAGATACGCTCTAGTGGCGAACGTTTCGAGCGAGGTTTCTCCAATCATTGCTTTGGCGAACCGCTTGTCCTCTTGGTCGAAATTATTGCGTAGTGTAATTTACGTTTGTCGATTCGCGAAGCTTTTACCGCGACGTTCGTATGTCTTAGCGTCCGATTACGACTATGCCGAGTTGCTAGTATTGCGTGAACTTCAACGTGTGCATTTCTCGGAAGAAATTACAAGATTACAATCGAATAGAGCTTGTAGTCGCACCTTTCAACGCCTTAAGCCATTTTTACAGGATGGGATTGTAAGGGTAGGTGGACGCTTGTCCAACTCGCAGTTGAGTTTCGACCAACGGCACCCTATAGTTTTACCGCGTAAAGACCATATCATAAATTTATTAGTCGATTACCATCATAAATTGAATTCGCACGCTGGCCCCGACTTGCTGATGTCGATCTTGCGTCAGAATTATTGGATTCTTTCTGCACGTAATTTAATCCGCAATCGGGTGCACAGATGTATTGCTTACTTTCGGACACGCCCCAAGCCGTCATTTCCGGAAATGGCGGAACTTAGATCTTGTCGAGTAATACAATCAGTAAAGCCCTTTACGCACACCGGGTCTGATTTCGCTGGTCCGTTTAAGGTCACGCTCACTCGCGGGCGTGGTATAAGATCCACAAAGGCTTACGTCTGCATTTTCGTATGTCTAACTACAAGGGCGGTGCATATAGAACTCGTTAGTGATCTAAGCACAGCAGGCTTTATAGGTGCATTTAAAAGATTTCTTTCCCGCCGTGGCCCCGTAAGTAAATTGTATTCGGATAACGGTATGAACTACGTCGGTGCAAAACGTATTTTATCAGAACTACATGAGCTCTTAGCTAGCAAGTATTATAATTCGGAGTTCGCTCACATTCTAGCCGAGAACCGCATCGAGTGGTCTCTGAACGTCCCAGCCGCGAGTCATTTTGGGGGCAATTGGGAGACTAATATTAAGAGTCTAAAGAGTCACTTATACCGAGTAATAGGAGATCAAATTTTGTCCTTCGAAGAGCTGAGTACTGTGCTCGCTCAAATTGAGTACGTAATGAATAGTCGCCCACTTTGTCGTACATTGTCTAGTGACCCTTCGGAGCCGCTGGCTCTAACTCCAGCACACTTTTTTGAATTTAACGCCTTTAAAGTATTTGCCCGCCGTAGATATGGATGAGAACAGACTTAGCATTTCCGTACGCCACAAATTATTAGACCGGTTAGTACAATCGTTTTGAAAACGATGGAGGATGGAATACTTGTATACTTTGCAGTCTCGGCAAAATTGGAACGCAGCAACTGAGCCTTTAACTGTAGGAACTGTGGTTGTGCTCACCAAAGAGAATACGCCGCCTCTCCATTGGCCATTAGGAATTGTCGAAGAGGTCTTTCCCGGTTCCGACGGAGTAATTAGGGTAGCTCGCGTTAAGACCACGGTTGGGTCTTACATGCGTCCTGTTGCCCGTTTGTGCCCCTTGCCTCTTCCATAATTTAAATTAGCTTTTTAGATTAGAGATTGTAGTTGAATTTAGGTAATCTTAGCGTTAGTTAGTTATTTGTCAGTTTGATCTTAGCTCTAGTTGTTTTAGTTATTTTGAAGGAAATCCTTCAAGGGCGGGGGAGATGGTTGCGCGGAAAACCATTCGTATTTTATTTATATTTGACGGTAGGCTTGCCAAATCGTTTATCACTTTCCAAACGATAACATTCATACCCTCCTATCGACACATCGGGGTGGTGGGGTGGGAGGGGAAAGAAGAGGATTCTAGAATATCACGCGATCATCGCAACCGAAGGAATAAAAAGGCACGCGCGGCCGACGCGCAGTCTCTCTTCCCGTCGCGCTCGTCGTTGGAACCACACCGCTTAAGACAATAGCGTCATAGAAGGGCTATTGCCCACGCGCACCGCTGGTATAACCGCTTTAGCCTGGAAGCAGTCGAGCTCCAGGAAACCCGCCTCACCTCGTGTAAGAAATAGTCGCGCATCGCACTCTCTCCCGACGCATCACCGGACAAAGAAAGCATCTCTGGGGCCCCAGAGAGTCCACCAGAGGTCGCACCGCAGCAACATAGCGCCCAAGCCACATAGAAGCAACACCCCGGTGAGTGAGCATTCCTTACTAGTTCCTGCTTGATATAATTGTGTTTAATAGTTAATCCGCTCCAATTTCATTTTCTCCATCAAGCAGGATTCCTTTCATAGATTTTGGCAAGCAATAGTTCGTTTTAGGGAAGAGCGAGTGCATTGTATGGGAAACCGCGTGCTATAGTCGCCATTTTGTGTAAACGAAGAAGTATTTCGCATATATAGTCAATTTGGGTTTAAAATCTCGCGTAATAGGCTTAAGGCTCGACCGGGGAATTGGACTTCGGTAACCTTAGGCTCATCGCTCCACCATGCTCACTTAAATAGAAAACTTATAACGTTAAAAAGCATAATACAGAAGTAAAGGCCGGCAACGCATCTGCAATTCCCTTGGTTGTGCAGTTGTTCATGGGCAGCGGTAGTCACTTACTAGACATGTGTCAATCATTCATTTCTCACGACCGAATCATTCTAGTACATTTCGTTACATTCGCTTCGATCATTCAAATGGATCATTTCAGGCTCCAGTACCCTACACTAAAAACAATTCATTAAGATCATTCGGGATTCGATCGGTTTTCGACTCATTCACAATTCACACCAATCGCGAGTTATAAAGGTTCCGTCAATTGTATGTGATTGGTTGTACCGGAACATTCAAAAACAAACGAACGAATCATTCATGATTGACCCATGTCTATCACTTACAATCAGGGGAGCCGCATGCTCGTTTACCCCTCTCCTATAAAAGAAACATTTTTAAATAACAGGAAATTGTATTCAATAAATTTTATGAAAATCAGTTTAGCTATTGTAACAATTAACAATAGTCACAAAGACATAAATCCTTCACTATGACTTCAGGCAAACCCTCAACATTAACTACCTTCTTTACTCTCTCTAATTCTGCTACAATCTCTGGGCTCAAAGGACCAGCTTGCCTCGCGGTTCTAAGCAAGGCCCTCGCTTTATCAACGTCTCTTTTATACATCGCCAATATTGCCAAAAAAGCCCAGCCATCAGACAGTAAAGGCTCTGTTTTAACAGCAACTGCAGCCCAGCGTTCCGCTAATTGTTCTTCACCCATTTTAAAATAAATTTTTCCAATAATTAAAGCTGAAGAAGCTGATGGGGCAATTTTATGAGCACGTGCGGCCCTTTGTAGAGAGGTCTCAAGATTTGTTTGTAACCCGCCCAAAGCTGCTCGGAGAAGTAAAGCAGGGCAAGGTTCTGCTCCAGCGTTATCCGCTTCTTTAAAAGCTCCTTCGCAATTACCATCCCAACCCCCTGCAAATACTAAGCAAATTGCACGAATTTGAGACAATATAGCACAAGGTCCTAGCATTTTCAAACCCTCTTCCGCCATTTTCAGTGCTTCGTCTAAGTGTCGTTGCAGTATTAAGGAAGCTGTTCTTAAATAATAAATTCCAGACTGTGACTTTCTATTATTATTAGACTTTGTACCACGTTGTAAACAACCTTCTTCTACACACTGTATTATTCTTTCACTAAATTTAAAACATCGCAGACATAAAAAGAAAGCAGCAGTGATTAATAAAGGATTTTGAGTGTCAATTACACCAGGAACCCAAAAAGTCTCTTCTTCACCACTTGAATCAATCCATCGCTTTAAGCACTTCCTCCACTCTCTGGGCAATTCATATGATTTTCTCATGTTTTTTGCAGCGACAAAAGCTGCATATATGTTATTATTGAAATGGTGCAAAGAATGTAGAGCAGCCCAACTGATTGCTTTGGTAGTACCATCAGAAGAATCACCTTTCACAGCAATGCGGAGAGCTGCAACTGCTACCTCAGTTTCCTTAGGTTCTTTGTCAAATTGCATACCTCCATATATCCACAATAAATATCGATTTCTAGGATTAACATTCAAAGCTTTTACTAAATAACTATAGGCTTCTGAATCAGTTCTTTCTTCAAGGCAACGCAAAACTTTAGATAAAAGCACCCGCGGTTGGTTCGGACTAATTTGTAAATTTTTTTCAATGTGATGAATTGATATTCTTGTATCACCTGCAATTCGACATCTTGCCGCAGCAGACCTCGTTGAAGTACGACTTTTTGGAGGAGGAGGAGCAAAAGAAGCGGTCACAGCTCGTCGAACTGCTGAATGTTGACTTGTTATAGTATCTTGATAATCAATTACAGAAGATTCTTCTGGTAGAAATTGCTTAATCATAGATCTAACACGCATTAATAGACGATTAGCTGCCGTCCGTTTTATGCTTTTATTCATTTGCAATGTATTCTTGTAGGATAAATTACTTAACTCCTTATGAACCGCTAAAGCCCCGCCTTCTTTACGTATACAATTTTTGTCTAAAGAGGATTCACATGATGGAAAAATAAACTCCAAATCTTCATTGGTAGTTTGAATACCAGCGCGAGGGGAGAATCCTAAATGATCAAATAGTGTTGATTTTTTCGCTTTTGGAACGAGTGGATCAATCAAATCAAATCTTAGAACAATGTAAGCATCATGTCCGTGCTCATCAATTATAAAGGTATTTTTTTCACGGGCACTTACTCGTGCGCTATTTGGTGGTAAGTTCAAAATGGCGGAGGAATTTTCTGGTAAATTTTCGTCACTAAAGAACAAGAGCTTTGCACATATAGTTACGCCAGATTGACCTGGTTGGAGTAAAACGCCCGCATCAACAAATGACATAAATCTACCTCGTACTTCCATTTTTCCACTCTTTGGGACTCCAGCTAATTCGAAGACAAAAGTAGAGTTTAATCGACTTTGTAGGCATGTGGGTTCTACCAGAACTCGCCTCATGGCATTCCAGTAAACAGAATTACAACTATCAGAATTTTCAAGTGATAAATGTTGTGGCACAAACTTATCATCGTTAGGTACACTAAAAACTGTGTTAGCTGCTTGTCCCGCGTGACTGGCCGTAGCCCAAACAATTTTAGACATAGATGACGTGCTTTGTGACATTCCAAAATTTATAGCCGTGGGGCTGTGAATATTATTAAGACTTATGCCACTGATAAAAACTGTACCTTCCTTTACATTTGGTAGGCAATGAGCAGAAATCATGGTTAACATTAGAGGAATTTTTTCGCTCTCTGAACTTCCCCTACAACGAGCAAAAACTTTAACTTTGCAATCCGTTATAAGTCCTGAATTGATAACAACAAGCGGCACTACTACACTAATTTCCTTTTCTCCTAAAACTAATGGAAATAAATCTACATTACCTCCTGCTCGGTTATCACTATTAATCATGGGGTCGGTTTCTTTTATCGCTTTTCCACGGGTACGAAGAAAAAATACGAGTGGTCTATCTGCCAATATCTTTTGATTTATTTCTTCTTTTAAATTCAAATTTAAGACGAAATCATTAATAATTAAGTCGTTTTGCCATTTTTCTTCTAATAAAACTTGATTATTGAATACTGTTACAAAATCCCATTCACCAGAGCTCGGCTTTTCGCCTTTTAACGTTAAGGACAAGTATACGAGTCGTGGACATTCGTTTTCGTCATGAAAATCCTCAATATCATTAGACCCCATTGTGATATCCGTTGCGTTAATATATTTTCACTCTTTTCTTAAATCGGTATATCGTCTTTCCATGTCTTTTCTATTTATTTCGGTTAAGAACGTGTGACATTGTCATCATTTTTATATTTGATTTATTTGGTTTATATGCAAAGAGATTCTCTTTGCATTCTCAAATATATATAAAATAATTTATGATGCAAACAAAATATTATTCCAGTATTATATATTATATTAATAATTTATGACATCCTATACTAAAGCTACGCGTGCATCGAACCTAATGGCACCCGCCATTAGCGATCGTCTGGTTGAGGAACTAGTCGCGCATGGAACATTTGTTAAAGACTGATAGAACAGAAAGAAGATTTATGAACGATTAAATTTTGCACGCATTGAACGATCTTTTAAATAGAACTATGTATTTATACGGTTTCTATCGCTTTTAATTAACTTATTTTTAAATCCCGACACGTCGGGTCATAGATTACTGACTATGTACTTCGGGTGCTTTACAGTACCCATAGTCACGGGGAGGGGGGGGGGTAGTGGCTGAAATCTTTGACGTTCCAATGTCGTAGTTAGCCCGGATACTACCTATGGAATGTAGAAGTAAGGAGCACAGACTGTGTATTAAACGTGTCCATGAAAACCATTAAATAAGGGTGGCGCCACTACAGCTACGGGCTAAATTTTAAAGAACGTGCCGAAAAATATTAGTGGAATAGACGACTTTTTTGAGGTTGTATTTACTAAATAAAATTATTTTAGATTTTAGAGCTACTGAGCAGTTTAGCAGCACACTTCAAGCCGTCGACAACTGCTTAGTTCATTTTATCCCAGTAACTACTCCAGCGCTGTTGTGGAGAGTTTTGAACTGTTATTTACTGCTTACAGATGGCCACTTTTTCAACTATTCTACTATGGGAGTTGGTGCTCCTTACTTCTACTCTCCATATCGGATACCTTCAGTTTTTAAATATTAATTTTTGGTCCGATCTACGCAGAACGAGATTACAGTATCTTGAAGTCTTGCAGTGTTATGCTTGGGTTTGGATTTAATTTTGTTAATTGTAGGATCTTAAGCAGATGGCAGCAACCATACATCGTCTCTATTGAAATTAGGATGTTCTTTAATTTCAATACCATCGCTTCAATAGCCTTGGTAGGAATCGGTGTTCTTTTGCGGGGATTTGTGGTTTATCAAATCTAATGTAATGATGGGAACGATTTTGAACATGTTCACAGACTGCAAACTTCCCGGAGCGTTGGTGCTTCAGGTCAGCTATATATCTTTAACGCGGGGTTATATAGATATTTTTGTTTGTCCTATGTAAGAGAGACCACATTCACAATCTAGCTTGTACACTCAAAGAGTATATAGGAACTCCTGCATCTTGTAAAGAAATCTTCTGATACAAGAATTTTCCGATATCCTATTAGACATCGGAGACGGAGAGATTCCTAAAGATTTCTATTATAGGATTAAACAAGTTTACCACTCACTCTTTGATCCGTCTGTCTTAGCAATGACGAGCTATGCAACGTGTTTGTAGAGATCACCCTCATATTACACAAAAATAAAACTCTGGATAAGTTAACGGGCAATCTGCGGGGAACGATCAAGTCAATGCATTGGACACAAGAATTATCAGAAATTGCGAGGGATGTGTTAACCTACACTTCGATAACTGTAAAATCACAATGATGCCATGAATTATTTGATAGACTTTTTTATTCTTGAAGTACTTCTGGTTCTTGGCGCATAATATTTTGCTAAAGATTTTGTTCCAATCATGTTTTTGCCCAAACTGCCTCTACCAAATTTATACAATGGAACTTGAATGAAAGGCAAAATTCATCTGCGAAGCAAAACTACAATCGAGATTCCGCAATAGCTTAAGTTTATTAAATACAGTCCATTAAATTAACTTCTTTGTTTGTCATTAAAACTAGGTACGTAACAGTTAAATAGGGCAATATGGGTTTCATAGACGTGGCATGCATGTACAGTTTTTTTTCGTGTCTTTTGATGTAAAATGCATCAAAATGCAAAATGCCAAGCCAGTGAAGGAGCAATTTCTGTGCTCATACAAATATTTGAGACTATAGAATACTATAATACACAATAGAATGGTTGTCGACCTTATTTTGTACCGAGGCTGCCCGGGAGCACACATACAAGCAATTACGTCGTACTATGAGTTAAATCATTACTACAAACCCGATTCGCTGTATTGTCAGACGGATTTTAATACATATTTATTTATAAATAGCGTGCAATATGGCATTTTCTAAATAAATTGAATGCGAAATTTAGAAACGGTTGTAACGTCAAAACACATCTCGTGTTGACATTTATACGTGTGAATTGACTCTTGGACTCTACTGCCTGAGCCCATCTATGAGTTAGGTAGACCAGAAGATCACCAGCTGATCGACCACGACGAAAACCGTATTGGCGATCACTAATCAGCTGGTGGTCCCCAAGGTACCTCATGACCTGGACGCAATTGTTTACAATGGACTCCATTGTTTTGGAGAACAAAGAGGTGTTGGCGATAGGCCGGTAGTTGGACGGGTCTGAGCAGTCGCCTTTTTTAGGGATCGGGTGGACGAAAGCCGTCTTCCATGATTTTGGGACTACGCCTATGGAGTAGGAGTACCGGAAAAGACGCGTTAAAACCGGTGCCAACTCTGGAGTACACGTCCTCAGCACAATTTTGGGGATTCTGTCAGGCCCACTCGACTTGTGAATGTCCAGGGAGAGGAGTGCTTTGCGAACCGAGCGCTGTGTGAAATGCACTTCCGGCATGGAGCACTCACACCGCGGGATGGTCGGCGGCGTACTCCCCCCATCATTCCCCCGAGAGTCGAGTTGGACGCAAAGAAAGAGCCTAGCAGATCGGCTTTCTCCTTTGCGGTATGGGCCAGTGAGTTGACCTCCCTGTGCAGAGATGGAAGAGATGGCTGACAGAAATTTCCCTGGACAGCCTTAGCGAGAGACCAGAATGCATGGGTTCCAGAAGGAAGGCGAACTAGATTTCGCCAATTCTGCCTATGTGCTCTGACTTTGCCTTGGCAATGACTCTTTTGAAGGACCTTGAGGCGGAATTATACTTTTTTTTTAGAGCGCCGATGTTTACATCCCGGGATGTTGATGCGTCAGTCCAGGCTTCGTAGCACTCCTGCTTATAGCATTATGCTATTTTACAGGAGAGACCAAACCATGGCTGAGATTTGCCTCTAATGGGCACCACAGAGGAAGGAATAAAAAGTTCCATACCCTGAAGTGCCACATCAGCGACAGAATCCGCAACAACGTTGGGATCGTCCAGCGAGAAGCAAACCCGCCCCCAAGGGTAGGATGCGAAGAAAGACCGCATCCCATCCCAATCGGCTGACCTATAGTGCCAAACACGGCGGCAGCCTGCAGAATGCAACTGCGATTTCAGCGTGAGTGGCACCACACTCCGGACAAGACTATGGTCCGAGGAGCCTAAAGGGGCGTCGTCCAACAGGGAAGGTGCATGATCCTCCACATCTGAAATCCTCGTAGGCGAGGTTACCAGTTGTGTCAGACCATATGCCAAGGCAAAATCATGAACAGATCTCCCCGCATGATCGGTTAAACGTGAACCAAGCCATTCGGCGTGATGGGCGTTAAAGTCGCCGAGGATCACGATCTCTTTGGAGGAGATCTGCTGTAGCAACAAATCTGTAGCCATTTGGACGTGGTCGAAGAGTCGGTCTGTATCGGCTTTATCGCTATGGGATCTATAGAGGCACCCGTAGACGCGCGGATGATCGTCGCTGTCTATGCGTAGCCAAAGGATGGACAGGTCCAAACCTTCAAGACTGTCGAGGTGTCGAGAACAGATGTCCTCTCTGACGTAAACGCAAACTCCAGCCCGAGGCACAAAGGAGTGTTCCAGTTTGTACCCCGGGTAGGAGAGATACGAGATATCAGCCGGAGAGGACACCTGCGTCTCGGTTAGAAAGACCAGAGCTGGCATCGCCGTCTCGAGGTGGTAGTGGACGGCGTTTAGGTTAGTGTGAAGTCCCCTGATATTGCAGAAATTCACGGATAGCGTGGCAGGGGTCACCTTGGTCTTGTTGCTCCTTTTGCCCCGAGCAGTTTTATTCTTGAGCGGAATTTTGCCCCCACCCCCCAAATACGCGGGGCAGCCTGAGCACCCACGCTCAGGAGTGGAGAAACATTGTTGTGGATGCTCAGCGAGGGATTCTCCAGGGGTGCTGGTACCCTCCTGGGGGTAGTCTATCATCATTTAATTCCGCTACCATGTGATGGGGCACTCACCAGACGAAACGCGGAAGCAGAGCTTCCACTTCACGCCGGTATTCTGTGAGGACGTGGTACCACCCCGGTTTGAGTCGGCCCATACGTGCAATAGCAAAGCTGCCGCGTGGCTCTACCACTGTTGACTTGATTGTTGATTATAAAGTATTACTATGAGTAGTAAATAATAATCTACTACTCTTAGTAATACTTTATATATATATATATATATATATATATATATATATATATATATATATATATATATATATATATATATATATATATATATATATATATATAGGAGGATATAAGGAGAAACAGATATACATGTTTGCAGCTAATGCAAAAAGGATGGGGAGTGACGCGTGTCAAAACCGTCCAGTTTAACTTGACCCTCGTCGCGTAATAAAAATATTGAAAATATTTTGGTAAAATAAAGGAATGTACTTACCGATGAAAAATAATATTATTTTTTGTTACACTACATGATTTACTGTTGTTTCCGCATCATTTAACGGCACAACAGGACATGATGCCGTAAATTGATTTTAATTTATATTAATGTAAGCTGTCTCTTCGGTTCTAGTTTTTGGTCGCAACTGGCGGGAAACAAAAGTATTCCGAAATATAATATATCAGTGACTAGTCACTGACGAGTTGACAGGTTTGGGTCGCCTTGTATTACGTCTCTATAGGGTTAAGTGCTCGTAGAAACAGACGTAACAATCTGGAACAAACTTTTTGACTTCGCGCAACACAACCAACATTAAAATCTAGCTCCCGTTGTACGTGTACAGAATACTAAAATCCCGTCGAAACCCATCAAGTAGGGATTTTCGAATTTTCATTCCCCCTAAATATTAAGAATGAATTGATTTGATATCGATTCTTGACACACATGGATTATTTTTCAGAGTTAAATCTACCAATGTATATACATACATCCTTTTTATAATACCTATAACCGTCCCGTTAAAAAATCCGTTAGCTGTTAAACACATTTTTTCTCGTTGTCAACCTCGCTGACCCGTCAAATCTAGCGGGAAACCAGTCAAGTTGCCAAGACTGCGTAATTGTCGACACTGCAAGAGCCATGAAGGTTAGAGAACAGGAGAACGATCACTACGTACTAAAGCATAGCCCGCCTGTCGTTGAAAATTGTAGAATTTATAGCGGTGCTGAAGTCGGTGAGTAGTGACTGCGACGTTAGCTGTTTATGACTACAAGTAGATGAAAGTTTGTGTACATTTTTCACGCTCCGTAATTTTGTAATTTTTGACAAAAAGAAATATTAAAAATGGAGAAATATTTTATTGTGCGTGGATGTGCAAGTGGTTGAGCATCTGACCGGAAAAATAGACTTAAAATGACTTTTATTGACCGAACTTAGTGACCGCAGCGCCTCACTTATGGGGTCCATATTTCTGGGACACTATTTTCTACGGCGATCGTTCTCCTGTTCTCTAAACTTCATGGTATGGAGTGTGGCCGTAGAAGGAAACGGCGAGATCTCCCGCCGGGCAAGGTGTTGTGCCCGGGGAGCGGCCAACGCTCCGTGTTCGGAGCTATCATATATATACTGTTTATGATTCGGAACTTTTGATAGCGCGATTTAAGCTTCGGTGAGTTTCACGTGTGGCGCCACGACAGCGCCGCCACATCACCCCCTGCTCAGACCGGAGGTCGAAAGTGCAGTCCATTTGCCGGTACGTCCTTAATGCTGGTGGGGAATGCATGCTGTGTGCGTAAGGGCAAGTGACACCGGTGCGAATGATATGCCGATGTGTAATGCACGCCGTACTAGGCACTGGCGAGTAATGCTCTTGAGAACGATGTACCGAAGCAAGTGCCAGAAGTCTGCCTTATAAATCTGCGGTGAGTCGAGATGAAGACAAGTTGGACTGGCTTGCAGGAACTGAAGACTGCAGAAGACGATTCTCAGTAGTGAGTGGTAGGGGTCCTTGGGGATAACGACGAAGTCTTGAAGTTGTAGTTTCTGAAGGTTGTTGGTTGCGTGTTCAAATCACGTCGGGGTCATCACCGTGGCCGTAGAAGGAAAAGGCGAGATCTCCCGCCGGGCAAGGTGTTGTGCCCGGGGAGCGTCAACGCTCCGTGTGATAGTTCGGAGCTGGCATATATATACTGTTTATGATTCAGAACTTTTGATAGCGTGATTTAAGCTTCAATGGGTTTCACGTGTGGCGCGACGACAAAACAGTTAAATAAGGGTGGCGCCACTATAGCTATGGGCTAAATTTTGAAGAACGTGCCGAAAAATATTAGTGGTATAGACGACTTTTCGAGGTTATATTTACTAAATAAAATTATTTTAGATTTTAGAGCTACTAAGCAGTTAAGCAGCACACTTCAAACCGTCGACAACTGTAAGTTCATTCCATCCTAGTAGTTACTCCAGCGCTGTTGTGAAGAGTTTTTGAACTGTATTTACTGCTTACAGATGGCCACTTTTTCAACTATTCTACTATGGGAGTTGGTACTCCTTACTTCTACACTCCATACTTCATGGGAAGAGCTGTGGCAAAATGGCTGCAGTTCACATTGTCAATACGAGTGTTGCCAATACAAAATGACATAAATTGACTAAAAGTTAATTTGCTTTGGGTATAAAAATTGCCGTGACGGTACTCCAGAAATTCCGGTATGCCATTTTCTAGGGACAAAGTAAAAAATAGAAATTAGAAAAGTATACCGTGTGTAGTTTTAAATAGCCAAAAAAATTACATTCCTAAGGCAAACATACATATTTCTATTTCATCGTAAATCCACCAAGGAGACCAGGGGAAATTCAAATCATAATGTTCCCATGTAATTTTTTTGTGTTTTAAATGTTTCTCCTTAAATGCAAGATTAATTTAATCGAATTTTAATTATATTAATATTTTTGTACAAGAAATTACGGTTTATCGTTAGAATTTACAGAGCAATAATAATAAAAAAACAAATGTTCATGTCTGGGACAGCAGACATTTTCGATTTACACTTTTTTTAAAACGCCCAAATAGTACTAACGTCGTCAAAAATTACTTACATATTAAAGGTAATGCCATCTTTGTGTAAATTTGTCGTGGTAGATTTCTTTTTGCAACAAAAAACTGAACAATTTGGTATTTTTGTAGGATTCAGTCGCGTAACTAAATTTAGTCCAGAGAGTAATATGTATACAACTAGTTTTATTGTACGCATAGGACCGCTGTGTTTTATTTGGACTTATACTTTGGCACAGGGAACCGCCTGCGTATGGCTACTCCCGTCCGGTACGTTGGCGGTCGTGTTGCTTCATGCTGATTCGTAAAGTGTGTACGATTTTGTACAATACATTTCTGCACCATTCGTAGACAGAGAAACCTATTCTCTGTCTACGGCACCATTGAATGGAAACAACAAGATTTTTTATCCACTAGGGACCTTGAGATACTATCGTTATTAACTTTCTGCTTTTACGAAGAATTTAATTACTAGTTCGCTAGGAACCAAGCTGTCGTCAAAGTTTCCTAAAACTTCCCACAATCATGCATCATTCAGCATATTATGTGTTGATAATACACATCAAACTAGAATGTATGGGTGTTGATCTCTTTGTAAATAAAACTAAATCGTAAATTTTATGACATTTGACATTGACTTTGACGTGAAGTTTTTTAAACATGACGTCTCACTTATCTTACAACTTTTACAATAACATTTCATGATTTGCTACGTGCACCTGTTGTAAAGTAATTTAAAAATGTTATAAAATGTATACTCTTTTACACGGCTTTTACAAATACATTATACAAAAAGACGAGTACTGCGTATTAATATTAGGGCTCGATAATGCTGGTAAAACGGTATCTAAAGACACTCAATATTATTGTATTATATTCTAGAAAACCTCTTTGACGAATAAGTTTCCCTATTAACGATATAAAATACACTCTTTTCCAGACTTATTTGGAGGCTACTAAAACGAAATACACTAAAAAGTATAAGGCTATGAACCCCAGTAGAATAACAACGACAGTGGGACTAAATATAGGTAAAATAGACGTAGACGGCGTAAGATTAAATTTTTGGGACTTGGGTGGACAACAAGAGCTACAGTCATTATGGGATAAAGTATGTCAACAAACAAAAAGTTTATATTTATTGGTCTGTGGATGTCAGTGAACACCTAATATGATGTGGACATCTTATTATTTTGTATATCCCTTTAATATTATTAAACAGTACTATAATTTAATAATTAATTTCAGTACTATGCAGAATGCCATGGTGTAATTTACATAGTGGACTCATCTGACAGAGAAAGAATTTCTGAATCAAAAGAAACATTTGGTAAGGTTGCCCACATTATCATAGTGGCATTTAAACACTGTTGACGTTACATAAGCATATTGTGTTCTCAATGTTTCAAAATAAGTAACA